GAGGGAGTCGGTGATTGCTTCGGGGATATCAGGAGACAGACTTAGGACCCCGAGCCCGCATCGGCCCTCCTCGGCTGCCTCCCGGGGTGGGGGCGGGCCTCGCACACGGTAAGACCTCTTGCTTTCGCGTCGGCTCGAGAGTCAAGGTATATCGATATATATGTAAAGAGATATCTTTACAAGATTATATATATATGTATATGTGTATATATATATGTGTATATATATATATATATTTTTTTTTTTTTCCTGTCATCCTTCCAAGTTATCAGGCCACCGATGAATTCTGTTCTGCCTTTTTGAAGAATAAATCTCTCTTTACCCATCGGCTCGCCCTACTCTCTCCCGCCGCTTAGAAATAAAACTTGGCTGTGTATTTAGGAGCCCGGAGCTCGAAGGCGCCCACCCCGAGCGTCCGAATCGCGGGCCGGGCGCCGTCCGCGGGAGCTGGGCCCCATGGGCTGCTAGCGACCCTCCAGTGGGACCGGCCTCTCCGCGTCGCCTCCCCATGTGAGCCGCGGCGGGGCGAGCGGGGCGCCGGAGGAAGAGGAGGACCCTCGGGCGCCGGGCCGGAAGGCAGCTGGCAGCAGGCCCAGGCGCGCGGGTGCCCGCCTTCATGTTCCGCCAGGAGCAGCCGCTGGCCGAGGGCAGCTTCCCGCCCATGGGCTCCCTGCAGCCGGACGCGGGCAATGCGAGCTGGAACGGGACCGAGGCTCCGGGGGGCGGCGGCGCCTGGGCCACCCCTTACTCCCTGCAGGTGACACTGACGCTGGTGTGCCTGGCCGGCCTGCTCATGCTGCTCACCGTGTTTGGCAACGTGCTGGTCATCATTGCGGTGCTGACCAGCCGCGCTCTCAAGGCGCCCCAAAACCTCTTCCTGGTGTCCTTGGCCTCGGCCGACATCCTGGTGGCCACGCTCGTCATCCCCTTCTCCCTGGCCAACGAGGTCATGGGCTACTGGCACTTCGGCAGGGCCTGGTGCGAGATCTACCTGGCGCTGGACGTGCTCTTCTGCACGTCGTCCATCGTGCACCTGTGCGCCATCAGCCTGGACCGCTACTGGTCCGTCACGCAGGCCGTCGAGTACAACCTGAAGCGCACGCCGCGCCGCATCAAGGCCGCCATCGTCACCGTGTGGGTCATCTCGGCCGTCATCTCCTTCCCGCCGCTCATCTCCATCGAGAAGGAGGGCGGGGGCG